GTGATCTGCTTCCTCACAGCTCTCCTCGGTGATCTGCTTCCTCACAGCTCTCCTCGGTGGCCTGCTCCCCGGCAAGGCTGCAGCCCTAAGGTTGTGTGTCCTGCCCACACAGCCGCACCAGCCTGGCTGTTGACATGGGTGCTGGGGCCCAGACTCCCGTCCCGAGGCTTGCCTGGCAAGTGCTCCACCAACTGAACTGTCCTCCTATCTCTTTCTTAGGGAAGTGTCTCTTTGGGTCCGTCACACTGAGGTGTTTTAGTTCTTGTGAATTTGGTATTTTACCACATCCCAATTCAAATCGCCCATATCAAACTGAGAATCCAGTGTGTGTGTGTACCAGGCTCAGGGAGAGCTCCGCTGTAAGAGATGAGTCCCCTGACCTGAAGAAGGTGAAAACTGGACTTCATATTTATTGTGAAATCCAGAGCAGTTGGATCCAAATGAAATACCCACCTCTTAACAACCTTGTGAGGCAGCTGAGACCGTCACCATCACTACGAAAAGCAGCCCTCTGTATCTCTGTTAATCAACGTTTGTCGTTGATTAAATGCTACTTTTCTTCTTTCTCTTTGGTCCGTGTGGACAGGAAATGGAAGGGTTTCAATAGTACTTCACTCAAGTTCATGGCACAAGTATTTTCTAAAACCAAGCCTGACACAGTTTCATACATGCCTGTTATCCCAGCTTGGGAGTCAGAGGCAGGCAGATCTTGGTGAGTTTGAGGCCAGCCTGGTCTACATAAGGCGTTCAGGCCAGCCAGAGCCACAGAGAGCCTGCAAAGTGTGCTCCTGATCTCTTGCCTCCTTTAACACGTGCACGCTACCTTCAGCTGTGGAGTTCACGTCGTCTCCCTTTGCAATGCGCACTAACAGCCTTTGCAGGGAAGGCCTGGCTCACCTCGGGGTCTGGGGATTTACCAACTGATGACTAGATGTAATACAACTACAGACGTTATTTTGTGCCTCCATTTTTGTTGTTTTAGGGGCTTACGAGTGGGGTCTCATATGCCCTCATAGCTGAGAATGGCCTTGAACTCCTGATCCTCCTGTCTCTACCTCTCAACTTCTGAGATTACAGGTGTGGGATTTGTTCATTTGTTCATGTGGGGTTTTGGTTGGTTGGTTTTGTTTTTTGGGGACAGAGTTTCTCTGTGTAGCCCTGGCTGTCCTGGAACTCTCTGTAGACCAGGCTGGCCTCTGCCTCCCTGATACTGGAATTAAAGGTGTTTTTTAAGGTGTAGTTTTTTTGTGTATCCGAGGCTGGCTTCACGCTCACTGGAATGGAACTTCCTTTCTCAGCCTCCTGAATGCTGGGGCCTCAGGCACACATCACCACGCCCAGACCTTCCATCTTGTGTCTATGAGTAATTCTTTTCACTTTGCAATTACCTCGATGTTCCAGTTGGGTTTTTCCTTGTCTCCCAAAGCTCTGCAAGGTAAACTTTCCTCCTTGGCTGCTAACAGGTGACCCCAGATAATCAAATGGTTTTCTGAAGTTAAGTCCAGATATCCCAGATTTCTTCATCTATGATTTTAGGCAGTAAATCATAAAGACCCTATCCGCTGTCTTGTTTCTACAGATCCACACAACTAAACTACTTGTCACTGCTGGCTGGGCAGGAGCTATGGGCAGCTGTTTGCAGCTGTCCTCTGGAAATCCAGTCATCTGCTATTGTATTTTGTTTGTTCAAGACAGGACCTCTCTCTGTAGCCCAGGCTGTCCTAGTACTCACCTTAAAATTACGGGGATTTTCTTGTCTCAGGTTCTCGTGCTGGGTTCCAGGCTCTAGCCACCACAGCCAGCTCCCCTCACACTCTCCAGCCTCACACATCTCACGGAAGATCTAGCGGGTTGTCCACTTCCCCTCCGGGTCTTATCACTGCCCTGTGGAGAAAGTCCGATGGCCACGGCGAGACTCCTCACATCCTGCACAGTTGGTGTGGATGGTGCAGGCTCCGCCACGTCCCTGAGAGGCTGCGCTTTGTCACAGTCGTGCTTGTTTGAACACGTCCTTTTCTGAACCTGGTTTCCGTCCGCCCTGGGACATAGCCTGTACTCTCCAGTTAGCTGATCAAAGGTGACTGGGCTTGGGAGGGCACGAGCAGGGCAGTGCTGTGTGAGGCGGCCGGTGTTCCTGCTGTCCCTGAGCTCTGGCCGTCTGCAGGTCACCTGACTCATACAGCTGCTCTCAGTCCTTGTACATTCTCTCTCCCTTGTTCTGTGTTGCTCTTTATTTCAGTTCTTCCTGTAGTTGCCTTCAATACTTACTGCCCCATAGACGGACATCATTCTCACTCCCGAAATGGGGATGAGGCAGGCGAGGTGACTCAGTGAGGAAGGCCTCCCAACTCTGCCCTGAGTTGGCTCCCCAGAACCCACATATGGGAGGAGAGAGCAGCTCACACAGGCTGTGCTCCGATCTTCACTGCTGTGCACACACACAGATTAACGTCACATTTCCTGAAAGACAGACGCAGACTGAGTTATCACTTCGGGTGTTAGGAGAGTCTCACGGGCACACAGCAGTCCCCTCTTCAGTGAGGAAGCCTAGCTCCCGTCATAGCGGACTGTGCAGCCTCCTTCCTGTGCTGCAGATGAGTGCAGGCCAGTGTCTGGGGCTGGGGTGAAAGGGTTAATATAGAACTCCCTATTCCGGAGCCCAAGCGGTGCTGAGATCCCAGGTGTGCGCCACCATATCCAGCCCCTCTCAACGTTTTTCTTCCTGCGTGGAGAAGAGAGTACGCCCTCACCAATGCGCACAGAAGTGGTTACCACTGTTGGCTTCACTGACATGTCAGGCTTGTTTAGTTTCTTGGTCTCTGTTGTCGTTTTGGTTTTCTGAGGCAGAGTCTCATAGTAGCTGGGCTGCCCCCAGACTCACAGCAAACCTTCCACCACACCAGGCTTGGCAGGGGTGTGTGTGTGTGTGTGTGTGTGTGTGTGTGTGAGAGAGAGAGAGAGAGAGAGAGAGAGAGAGAGAGAGAGAGAGAGAGAG